TGTGAAATAGGAAAGAAGATACATCGCATGATTTTACCCTTCCTTGAGTTAAAGGAGGATGAAGTCGATGCCGAAGCTTACAACTGTGAAAACGTTGTATCTTCTGATGAGGTCTCACCTGCATACAAAATTGGTCTTGACAAAATTAAGTCCTACATAAAGTCCAAAGACCATAAGGACATGCTCAAAAATCTGTTAGATGAGAATGATAGATTGAAGTTAAGAACCGAAACCGTACAGAAATTTGACTCATTGAATGCCAAATTAAGTTCATAAAATAAAATTGATGTTGAAAATGCATCTGAACTTAATGAGGATGATGATCTGAGTGAAATCTCTGTAGAGGATTTGGTGGACTGTTCAGAACTTGTCAAGAGCGAACCTGACACACGCAAAAATCTGATTTCTGAAAATTCTGTTGAGTTCCCTCGCTCATCAACAGACAAGACCAAAATTCTCAAAGCAAAAGCTGTTGTGTATCAAAAGGTACAAACCACTCCAAATCAAGTCTACACAGTTCCAGGAGTCACTCCACAACAAACCGCAGAACTGACAGTTATGGTGGAAGAAGATAATGCAGCTGGATGTGATGAGTTCTTCTGGTCAGCACCAATAGACAACGCTGATGAGACAAAAGGTCTATCTCAGAAGACCTCATGGAGAGTGAAAGGTAGATACGTGCCAGAACCACTAAATGAGCCTACAAGATATGATGTGCCAAGCACAAGTGGAACCAAAACATCATTGGGCGAATCGGTGCAAACTACCAGTGAAACATATTCAACAAAGAGCGACAACTATGCTCGTACTTCAAAGAAAAAGGCTAACATCCACAAAAATCCAAAACAGGTGGCAGATCGAAAACACCAACGAAATCTGAGATACAAGAAGAATCTCTCAGAAAGAAAACAGTTTTGGAGATCACAAAATCCTCACTATGTCAGGAACGACAGGAAGCATAAGTCACAAGAGGAATCAAGGAACCGAAAGGATAGTTTCGGTCCCTCAAATGAATGGAACCGAAAGGGTAGCTTCGGTCCCTCGACTGAAAGGAACCGAAAGGGTAGTTTTGGTCCCCCAACTGAAAGGAACCGAAAGGAGAGTTTCGGTCCTCAGAACAACATCAACCGAAAGAGCGGTTTCGGTCCTCAACCCGATAGCAACCGAAAGAGTGGTTTCGGTCCTCAACCCTACAAGTTCAATCAGACGAACAGAAGATCCAATGTCACTTCTAAACCCAATTCCTCTCATTTGAATTCTTATCCTTCAAAAGATTTAAAGGGGAAAGGAAAGCTATTTCCAGAAGATGACAGACGTCCAAAAGAGATCCAAAAGAATGCAGACGTCAACACCTCAAATCCTACGCCTACTGAATCAAAGTCAAACAAAATTAAAGTTTTCACTATAAAAAGAAAAGATGAAACAACTTTGATTAAACGTACTTATTTGGTTGATATCTCTCTTACTATTCCCTGTCCTGTAAAAGGCTCACAAGGACCCAAGAAACTTTGGGTTCCTAAATCTGCTTAATATTTTGCAGGTTATCCGTGACGAGCAGTTTGACGAAGAATGGTATATTGATAGTGGTTGCTCGCGTCACATGACAGGAAGGAAGGAAGAACTGAGGGAGTTTCGGTCTCTCAAGGATGGTGGAATTGTGAAGTACGGCAACAACTCATATAGAACTATCAAAGGCTATGGAATGATTACGAATGGTGATTTCTCGATAAGAAAGGTCGCATATGTTGAAGGGCTCCAACACAACCTTATCAGCGTATCACAGCTGGTAGTTGGAACTGGATTGAAGGTATCGTTTGATGATGAAGGATCAGAAATAGTCGAAAAGAAGTCCAATAACATTCTGCTGAAATCGAAGCGAAAGGGGGAAATGTACCCGTTAAACCTCAACCCAATTCGAGGTAAACCAGCAGTTTGCTTACTTACGAAGGCTCACTCAGATGAAAGTTGGTTATGGCATCGAAGACTCTCTCATCTTAATTTCAAGGATATCAACAAGCTGGTTTTAGGAGATCATGTTCGAGGTCTTCCAGTTCTCAAATTCGACAAAGAACATCTATGTGCAGCCTGTGAAATGGGAAAGCAGAGTAGACAAAGTCATCCTTCTATTATCAACACAAAGGTGATAGAACCGTTGGAGCTGTTACATATTGATCTGTGTGGTCCCTCTTCTATTGAAAGTATTGGTGGAAACAAGTATATTCTGGTTATAGTAGACGATTTCTCTCGGTTCACATGGGTGTTTTTCCTGAAGCAAAAATCTGAGGCTACTCCAAAGCTCAAGCTCTTCATAAAGCAGGTAGAAATTCAACTGAGGAAAGTTGTTCGTAACGTAAGAAGTGACAACGGCTTGGAATTCAAGAACAAAGATTTTGAAGATTTTCTTGCTGAGAAGGGAACAACTCATAATTTCTCAGCCCCATATACTCCACAGCAGAATGGAATCGTGGAAAGGCGAAACCGATCTCTGTGTGAAGCAGCTCGAACGATGTTATGCTTCGCATCCTTGCCTTTATATTTCTGGGCTGATGCGTGCTGCTTGTTATACTCAGAACAGATCATATCTAAACAAGCGATTCTCTATCACTCCTTACGAGATCTTGAACAATCGCAAACCGAATGTGAAATTCTTCCATGTGTTCGGTTCAAGATGCTTCGTCTTCAACTCTAAAGAGAATCGAAACAAGTTTGATGCTAAGGCTGATGAAGGAATATTCTTAGGTTACTCCCTGAATTCTAAGGCATATAGAGTTCTAAACAAGCGCTCTAAGAAGATTGAAGAAACATACTATGTCACTTTTGACGATAGCTATGTTAAGAAGATGAAGACAACCGAAGGTGCAATGCAGGAAATCTTTCCAAAGACTAGTCAGGTTACAGCCTCTATTTCAAATCTTTTCGAGCAATATATGCTTCTTTTTGATGAGCCTCAAACGGCAATTGATTCTAAATCAAAGGCGAAAGACAACAAGGTTGATAGTCTAAAGCAAATCATCAACGATGCTGCTCAAAAGATGGCTGCTGATCAACCTAAAGCAACCGAGAGGCCAGACATAAGCGAACCTTCGAATGACCGTTCTTCTATCCAGGGGGAGGGTCCGTCTCTACAACACGATCAAGGTTCTTCATTCCAGGGGGATAATTCAACGTCACAATCATCAAGCTCTTCTGAAAGTCCAAACGAAGGAGAACATTCTAATCCCGATACTGAACAGGTGTCATCATTCGAGGGGGAGAACACAAATGTCAATGATGATGAAATACTATCAGAATTGGAAGAAGAAATCAATGCAGAACTAGATCCCTCTTGTGATCCAAATTACCCACCTCTTATTAAATGGACCAAAGATCATCCACAAAGTCAAATCATTGGGGAATCTTCAGAAAAGGTGTTAACTCGATCACAGATCAAAGCGAAACAAGATGCTCTCTTCTCTCAAGTAGAGTTTTGCATGTTCAACTCCTTTGTTTCCAAAGTTGAACAAAAGACTATTAATTCAGCACTTGATCATTCTGACTGGGTTCAAGCCATGCAAGATGAGTTGAATGAGTTTGAAAGAAACAAAGTATGGCGCCTTATTCCAACTCCAAAGGATGCTTCGGTTGTCGGTCTCAAATGGGTATTCAGAAACAAGATGGATAAGGAGGGGAACGTGATTCGTAACAAAGCTCGGTTGGTTGTGAAAGGCTACTGTCAGGAAGAAGGTATTGATTATAAAGAGACCTTCGCTCCTGTTGCAAGATTAGAGGCTGTTCGTATCTTTCTTGCCTATGCTGCACACAAAAACTTTGAAGTCTATCAGATGGACGTCAAGTGTGCCTTTCTCAACGGAGAACTTGAAGAAACTGTGTATGTTGAGCAACCGCCAGGCTTCATCAACGAGAAGTATCCAGATCACTGTTACATACTTGACAAAGCGGTTTATGGCCTAAAGCAGGCTCCCAGAGCATGGTATGAAACTCTAACTCGAATCTTAAAAATGTCTAAATTCAAACAAGGTTCGGTTGACCCAACCTTCTTTCGTAAGAGAGAGGGTAACCACCTTATGATAGTCCAAATTTATGTTGATGACATCATCTTCGGCTCCACGAATCCCAGCTTAACAGCTGAATTCAGGAAGTTGATGGAAACTAAATTTGAGATGAGCTCAATGGGTCCAATTAACTTTTTCCTTGGCTTAAACATTAGACAGGGACCCGAAGGCATTTTTATCAATCAGGAGGCATACACAAAGACATTACTTGCTAAGTTTGGCATGATGGGAGACTCCAAAGTTAAAGTTCCAATGGCTTTTGGGACAAAGCTTACACCTTCGTTGGAGAAACCAGCCGCTGACATGACGCTCTATCGTCAAATGATTGGGTCTCTGATGTATCTCACAGCTAGTAGACCTGACATCATGTTTTCAGTCTGTTATTGTGCCAGATTTCAAGCTAACCCACGCGAACCTCATTTGCAAGCTGTGAAAAACATCTTTCGCTATCTGAAGTTAACCTCCTCTCTCGGTCTGTGGTATCCACCCAACTCAGGATTCTTTGTCCAAGCGTTCTCAGACGCTGACTTAGGTGGCTGTGGATTAGATCGTAAAAGTACCACTGGAGGATGCCAATTTCTCGACGGTAAATTGGTTAGCTGGCAATCAAAGAAACAAACTTGTGTTTCTCTCTCCACTGCAGAAGCTGAATACATCGCTGCAGCATCATGTACATCTCAAGTTGTATGGATACAAAGTCAGCTTAGAGATTACGGGCTGAACATGAAGAAAATCCCACTATATTGCGACTCTGAAAGTGCAATTAGGATTTGCCACAACCCAGTGCAACACTCGAAGACTAAACATATAGCACTGAGGTATCACTTTATCAAAGATCACGTGGAAGATGGCAACGTGGAAATTCATTTCGTAAGGACAACTGATCAACTGGCAGATATATTCACTAAGGCTTTACCTGAAGCAAGCTTCAACAAGATTTTGCAAGGCCTAGGAATGATGGAAACAAATGCACCCCAAAATCGCCTTCACCCCTCTTACTTCCTCCGCCGCTGCCACCTTTTGCCTCCACCACCGGTGTTGCGAAGCTGCTGTTGAAGATGTGAACCGCCACCCCCCTTCACACTCGTTGATTCTGCTCTGAGTCGCTACTCTCCTTCTACTTATTCTTCCACCGTTCTTAGCCGCGTAAGGCAGCTGCCGACGCTGTTTCGGTTTTCCTTCTTCTCCTGTTTCCTCTCCGCAGCAAGAAATCGACATCCGCTGCCTGCCGCCTCGGAGGTTGATGAGCTCGTGGTGTTTCCGTTATGACCGGAGCACGGTGACGAGTTTAAGGCTTGTATTCCGACAGGGGTGCGCTGTGTGGGTCATTTCACGAATAGAAGCGTGTTTCAGATCATGTTTGCGTGTGGATGCTTGACTGGAAATCATGGGGTTTGGAGTTGTGTTTATATATGTCGAAATAAGGAGAGGATAAGGGTTTCTGGGTCTGTGAAGAGAGAACGATGATTTTTAGAGAAGTAGGGGGAATCGGTGGTGGTGTTATATGAAACTGATAACCTAAATTAGTGGGATATTGATTGATTTTGTTTTCTTTTACCATAATTAATTATAGTGTAGATTACTCTTATACCCTTTTATTATTTATTAGTGATTTAATTATTTCTTGAATTCTCATTGGTGCATTTAGGCACACAATACTTGCTAAAAACATTTGAACCTAGCTATATATATATATATATATATATATATATATATATATATATATATATATATATATATATATATATATATATATATATATATATATATGAATTTTTCCTTTCTAAAATAGGAAATCTAATCCAATAATATTTAAATTTTAAGTCATACAAACCTTTAAGCTGAAGTACAATCAAATATCAATAAAATAATACTCAACTTTTAAATTGTCGTGAGAATACAATCAACCGATGCATATACTTCTATATATCTACCCGGAATTTTGACCCAACCCTCATTAATCGCTGATTGAGTATGGTAAATCCACAAATATGGAAAAAAAAAATCTCTTAATTTTGGCGGGCCTTCCCTAAAAAATGAAGGTAGTTAGCCGGTTATGAGGTGTAAACTATAAATTAGTAAGAAATAAAGAATAATATTAAACAAATTGATTCGTATGAAACAATAAGTTATAATATCTACCTCTTCTAATAAATAAAACCAAATCATGCCACTTGTCTCTTTTTTCTACACTCTTTTTTTTGCCACATGACATATTCTCTTAAACCCTTACTATATTTCCAGTATATTATTTCATCCAAAACTATTCCTGAAAATCAGGCATTAAAATTAGATACTTCTCTATTATCCTTAAATATATTTTACGCATTCCTGCTATGCATACGAGAAATTAACCGCTAATAACCGAGATTCTTGGTTAATTATCAATATCCTAACAAAAGATAAAGGTAATTGTTTCCAATGTTAAATGTCAATCTCTTTATTTATACAATTTGAAATCAAAACATCACTTTCATATTCAATTACACATAATGTATCTTTGGTCCGTAGTCTTTTTTTTTTCTTATTTAGTTTTTTAACTTGATTTCTTTGTATTACTTTGTGTTCAAGATTATTGGTAGAAATTTTCTTTATAATTTTCCGAAAAAATACACTCATCAATATGGAGATTGATCACATGAGTTCTCAATGTAAAGGAAAGTGAGTATTGCAAATTGAAATCATACCGGTATTCATCCCACCACTCTTTTTTTTTTATTTCGGGTGAATTTCATATATACCCTTATTAAACTTCTAAATATCGTATTTGTCCGACTTAAATTTTAAATATCGTATTTGTCCTTCTTAATGTTTTAAAATATCGGATTTGCCCAAATCTATTTTTTAAACAGTTTTTATTATTTAAAAATCCTTTTTTATATATTAAAATCATCAAAAATAAAAAAATAACCAAATAGACCATAATACCCTTGCCTTCTAAATCACAAAAATCCATTACCTGCCACATTTGGAATCACGGTCAATATATGTAACCCTGTCTATTTTTTTTCGTGCCTTCTGCCAATAATTTGCTGTAGTCGTATGTACAACTTAAGAAGGAGTTTAGCAGTGAAGTTGAGTCTGCAATTGCTGCATTTCTAGTGTATCACTGTTGACTCTTCCATTGGTCATGCAGATCTCACGCATCTCTTTAAAGTCGCAAATCATGAAGCTAAAAAATCTCTTTAAAATCGCAAATCATGAAGCTAAAAAATCTCGTTCACAGAATCGGTTACTTAGGGTGGTTAGTATCAATTTGTAACTTATTCAACAATAATCCTAAAATATTAACAAACAATGTAATTATGATAATCTGTGTGGTTTCCACTTTCTCCCTATTTTAATATATACTGCAGATCATCAGCAGTTCCACAACACCAATGGCCCACAAACCAAAAGCTCTCCACATTTGATGTGATTTACCTACACGATTACCTATAGTTTATACCTATGATTTTTGAAGCTATCCATAGTTCTAATCACGAAATGAATAATCAATTAACAAATATAAAACATAAAATTACATGATGATTATACAATTGCAGCAAAAAATTGGCAGAAGGCGTGAAGAAAAAAAAAGAAGAGGCAGTGTTACAATATCGATCGTGATTCCAATTGACGCAGGTAATGGATTGTTGTGATTTAGAATGCAAGGGTATTATTGTCCATTTGGTTATTTAGTATTTTTTTGATGATTTTAATATATAAAAAAGTATTCTTAAATAATAATAATAGTTTAAAAAAATAGATTTGGGCATATCCGATATTTTAAAAAATTAAGAAGGGCAAATACGATATTTTAGAGTTTATGTCGGACAAATACGATATTTAGAGTTTATGTCGGACAAATACGATATTTAGACGTTTAACAAGGGTATATACGAAATTCTCCCTTTTATTTTTTATGTAATTTTAAGTTACTTCTTTAATGATTTCATCCTTTTTATGTAATTTTAAGCTTACTTTTAAGTTTTGTTTACGGAGTAGATTGCAAAGATGATGATGGTCGTTGACTGTGGTTTACGATTATGATTTTAATTGCGCCTTCAATAATTGGGAAATTGGAGGCTTAGATCATATCCAACTATAAAGAGGTCATGTAACAAGTTAGAAAGGAGGTGTTAATGGTTCTGAAGCTATTGTGAATTTTGATGTCTCCGACTCTGTTTTCCTTGTATAATTTGCAACTTATTATTATATACATATCTTAATAGATCCAACTAAAACTATATTCTTTAAAACTTGATTCTCATATTATTATAGTAAATATTTGATTTTTACTCTTTGATCGTCACTGGTTTGGTTACCTCATACTAAATGTGGGTTGCATGGATATGTTTTTGCAGTTAAATACAGGAATGGCTACGTTAGATGAAATATTAGATGAAATATTCTCTGGAGCTTTTGAATTTATCAAATGGATAGGTTTTATAGCCTCTTAAAGCATCATTTTGCATTTTCATATTTTTTGTTGTTCTTGATGATGACCAGTTAAATATTTTTCATATTATATTATTATATTTTTATTATTAATCATGAATTAAATAATATTATTAAAATTTTATAACCATTTTAAATATTATTATACATAAGGATCATATATACATCAATATTTATATACAAACATGTGTTTGCATATGATTAAATAAATTGGTTTTTTTATTATATAATTTTTTATTGTTAGGGACTCGTGAGAAGACTTTCTTTCTATATCTCCTCCGTTTATGATATTAATTTAAAATAACGACAATATAGTAACGGTTAACATATTAAATTTTGTAAAAAAACTTAATGACTGCAAATCTATTAATAATGATTACTAATTTTTATAATTTGTATGTTATTTTACTTTGCGAACCGTGGTTTCCACGGGTTATAACCTAGTTATTAATAATCCAAACATAAAGAATGTTGGTAATATCTTTTTTACATAATTAATTTAAATTGAAATTATGTTGTTACTGGGAAAATATAGATGTCAATATTTGTTTATTGGTACAGATTAAATTTGTAACATCCGTAAAAATCATGATAAATTTAAAATTTTTAAAAACAACCCAAATTCATAAATTGTTTACAAATAATTTTCAAAACATTTTCAACATCAGAGTCTCCCAAAATCACAAGTAAAAAACATGAGGATGTGTACGGTCACGTCTTCGTCTTCCCGCGGTCATCTAAAGTACCTGAAACATAACCCAAAACTGTAAGCCACCGCTTAGTGAGATTCCCCAAAGTACCAACACACAATCAAATAACATATACAATAACAACATGTCGGGTCCAATCAACCATCGGGTTGGAATACCCCAGGTCCCTTAACCATCGAGTATGCCAATACATTATGGGCCCAGTCAACCATCAGTTTGGAATACCCCAGGCCCATCAACCATCGGATTGGAATGTCAATACATAACAGGTCCTGTCATCCTCGGGATGGAATACCCTCGGGCCTACTCAACCATCGGGTTGGAATGTCCCCGATCTGTGGGCTCACCCAAACCAAATGCACATGTAGACATTAACAATGAAAAAAGATTACAGGATGCCGACCCCACGACAAGGAACTCATACTCTTCATGCAAATCCTCATTGTAATGTAGAAAAATGCAAACTCACATTACTATAAACAATTATACATTCGATTATTATTCATTCAAGATAAACTACTACAATTAGTGACTGAATAATTAGTTAGTGACTTATAAGTTACCATTAATGATTCATATGATTATATAATATGACGATTTCAACATCATGAGGAAAAGTTGGGAGGTTGTGCATAGCTACATGAGATGCTCTAGGTGTAGTTGACTGAAACAAATGGTGCAATTGAATGATTTTGTGCTCTTAACTCAGATTCTGTGATAATGATGAACGATGCTACTTAATAATTGAAGACGATGCATTGTTACAAGGATTGGAAAATTTAGAAGCAGGGGTAATATGGTCTATTTTATTTTATTTATAATTATAATGATTTCAAAATATAAAAATTAATTATAAAATAATAAAAAATATGAAATTTTAATTTTTGGGCAAATATGATATTTTAAAAGCTTAAGAAGGATAAATATGATATTTAGAAATAATACCGGGTAAATATGATATTTTCATGTTTAATAAGGGCATATACGAAATTCTCCCTAATTGGAATTTGATTTTCAAGTGTTATTTCCATAAAAGACCTTGTATTTTTTTAACCAAAAAAATCTCAA